GTGGTACTTGAAAGGGCTCGCTAATGTTAGTGGGTCATGTGATTTAGCGGGACTCGGTAAGGGGGCTCCGGGGCCCTCCGAGCGCTAAAGCGGGGCCCTCCGACCTACGACCTCGTTATCTCCAACCAAACAGCTTATCTCAGCGAGCTCAGACGGCGGATTGGTCATGTGATGTCACATGACAGAGAAGCTATGTTTGAAATGGGGATCGGGGGTCGGAGGTCCGGAGGAGTCGATTATCCGCGACTAACGAGGTCGTATACAGAGAGGTCCAATTTTAACGAGAGAGGTGCATTGCCTATTAACGCGTATACCTACACATAGCTGGTTGGGTGCTTGTCTATCTAAAATGTGCGTACACGTTGGCCTATATAATCGGGTCGGTGGAACTTGCCTAATCGGTCCAACGTTATTCCTTATCAGATATCTCGTGGGGGTCACGTGGGGAATCACGTGCGCAGGACAGGCTGGCACCGTGGCATCACCACCACGGGGTCTCTGTGCCTCCATGGTGGTTTATAGGTGCCAGAAGGCCCCTATCGGTCGATTAACGCGTGAAAAATACGTGTTTTTCGTGGGTGCTGATTTTGGTGTTCCAGAGCGGGTTCTCTTTTTGACCAAAGCCTATCGGTTTATCTTATGCTATTACTCAGGAGTCACGACGATAAAAAAACAATAAAAAAAAAAAAAACAACAGTCTTTAAGTGTCTAAACGCGCTGTCTACCTGAAACAAAATAATATGAAGATAGTTGCAATCATTTACCTGGCTGATGATAGTGCCATGGGGTGTTTGTTCAAGCTTTGCGATAAATGCCTGGTGTCAGACTCATACCCCAGCACTGTGGTTGGATAAGGTTCAGACGTTAAAGGGAAGGAATAGGTGTCTTTGATATAGCAGAGAGGTCAAATCAAGTCTGAATATTTCACATTTATGAAATTGAGCACCCACACGGTGGCGGTGGCCTACTCCTTCAGATAGTGGACGTAACGGGCAGATGGAACCTCATTTCTTGATACTAAACAAAGCCAGCTGTGGTGCTCAATTTTCGCTTCCGAAGAACTAGTATCCCAGATACTTTGATCAGATGTTTGTTTTTCTTCGACTCATAGAGCTTTGTCTTCAGGACAGCTGTTGAAAAAGCTCTATAGTCAATGAAATCCCTGCAAATCCTTCTGCTTTGTCAAAGCAAAATGGCCAGCACTGTAGCAGGTTGCTTGATAGATCTTGTGCGGGTATGGATGGACGAGGTGGTGACTGGTCAGGGAGCAGCAACTGCGCGGAATAAAGGGGAGAGACAGAAAGAGTCTATTGGTGCACATATTTCTATTGTTCTCATTAACGTCAAGTTTTTATAAACGGCGGATCCGTAGCTTGAAATTTCAAAGTTGCTGGGGAAGGTCTTACAATTTGATATCAAGGGCCCATTAGTGCAGCCTTCCAGTAGAAACCTGTCCACTCTAACGGTCTCAACCAAGAATGTAGCATTGGTAGACTCTTTTGAAACGCTAGCATGAGAAAGAAAGGAATACAAAAAAGATCTGCTTTTTGTGAGCTATCTACTGTATGTCCCAGCCTGGAGCCCTATATCCAAGAAAACAAAGAGATCAAACGCTCCCATAATCACTAGGAGGCTGTGACAACTACAACGCCCTATTTAAGTTGCCTAGGTATTACCCTCCATACAAATTTCCTTCATTATACTTTATTTTTCTGAAAAAAATACTATTTCTGTCCACCTTTCCATCATGACATGTTCCGCAGCTGAAAAGCGTCAGATCTTCCTCGCATGCAAGGCAATCTTCACGGGTCCCAATACTTTGCCCAAAAAGCCAAAGACCATACAGAAGCGCATTACGAAGCACCAAGCTGCACTTAATACGTCAATCCCGAACTTTGAGGTCAACAGGGTCACAAATATCGTTAGGTGCCTCTTAAAAGAGCAAGTGTTCCAATCAGATATTAAAGCTAAGACAAAATTTCCCGATCTATTTACTCCGTCTCCTGCCAAGAAGGTCAAATGCAATGCCTTTGAAGCCGAGGCAGCCCGTTCAGCAGCAGGTATACTTGAAGAAATTACATTTTCTCACCATGAAGACAGTGAGAGGACACGGGTTCCCCCAGTGCTGCTGCCTGCTGAGTTACAAGCTCCTGCTGATACACATGTTCCGATCAAGGGATATAATAATTCATGTAAGCAAGTGAGTTTATGAGATGAGCCTTCGTCACTCACATTTAGACAGCACCTGAATCTGCTGTAGAGCCAAGATTATCCATGCCTTCGCTCTATCCATCATACTTTCCATATAGTGCTCAGCATTCTGTCTTATCAGGTATCCAACAAGTCCTAGAAGAATGCTGTTTTGATTTTACAAAGAAATGGTTACCCTGTGAAGTCAAAAACCACGAATGGGATTGTGCCGCAGCTATGGAGCTCACCGAGTGGACGAAGTTTCTAGCGAGGTGGTCACCACAACTTCCCTATGAGTCTTTGCAATTGAGGGGCTCACAGTTAGACAAACTCCTAGCTACAATTCGTCAAATTCGACATATAGCAGTTCACCGGCTACCAATTACAGCAAGGGACGTCAGTTCGCTAGTCCTCGCAGCCAAGAGACTGACAGAAGTTTTGCAAGATATTTTACGCATGTCACAGTTGGAAGACCTCTACTTCGACATAAAAAACAAGATCCAGGCAATGGAGCTGAACAAAAACACCCTTGAAGTTAATTACGCTCATGAGTTTAGAGCCATACATCTCCAACAAGAAAAATTAGACAAGAAGGAGCAACTCAGAGCCAGTATCATCAGCAGCGACAAAGAGAACAAAATCCACATGGGTCTTCTGGTTAAGGAATCAATCGGAAGGATATTTAACGACAAAAAGGGGCCTTGATGATAATTCGGTTGAGTCTGAGATAGAGGATGACGGGGCAGATAATACCATTAGTCCAGGTTGTCGGCTTCTATAATTGAACAGACTATGCCTCGCTGGTCTCGAAAGATACTTAACTAAACATTACCTAGCGTGAATGGCATGGTATCGCTGTATATTTTTGATTTCTACGCTCTGTCCAGGAATGCGTAACTAATGTAGGTGTATCAAGCGGTGTATAGAAGAATAATTCTCGGACGAATCATGATCATTAGAATGGCCCTGGCCAGAGAAATAAAATATCTTGCTTTGTGATATATGGATTAGAATGTCTTGTTGCGCCGCTTTAGCTCAATAAAGTTGGATTTCGTTATGGATGAGAGGAAGGATACAAACGTGGTAATTGTTGTACCATGGTCAAATACTTCGCTCCCAAATTACCGTCATCACCACTTGTATATACCAATTTCCACTCGTTAAACCTTTTTAATGTATTCCACTGGCTTTTATTCGGATTTTGAGTTGGCCGTTCTCGGGCCACCGTCGGTTGAAAGCATAAACGTGCCACCTTCGACAAATTGGTAAAATCATCGCCTACAAAGTTGCCAAAGGGTACAGTCGTGAGTTTTTCATAGTCTGGTGATTGGGGAGAATACGCAATTCCACTTACCAGGCCTTGATCCAACAAGCACATCTGCATGCTTTTCAAAACTCACAACTGACGTGCCCGAATGCATATAAACCGGAGAGAGGGTACGTGGAAGGATATGAGCATCATCGAGTCCGGTCTAGGGGTGCTTGACGAAACCAGCCATAAACACCACTTTCATGTATAGGAGTACGCCTTCCACCCATACCCTTTTGTCCCTGTGGGTGAGCTTAACCTCGACGAGCACCAAGAAAAATGAACAATCATGGGGTCGGATTGTAAAGTCTGGTACGTTTGTCAAGTCTGCGAACCTCAGTTCCAAAATCATTGGCAGCTGTAAGCACTGAAATTGGTGTCTGCATAGTCTCAAATTCAGAGGGAGAACATACAGCACCACCACAGCCCACATTGAAGATTGTTGCAACCGATGCGGCCCAAATTTAAGTGAGCCAGGCACTTACAGCCTCCACTATAACTCTAGGTTAGTGTATACCACTAAAATAATTTCCATGGTCCGAGTTCCCGCAATCCCCGTACTATTACCGTGGTTGGGTGATCCCGCAAATATAGTTTAAAACGACCCTAAGTGCTCGCTATTTATCAATCGCTGTTCAAACGAGATATACGCTGCGAATAGTTTAGAACGAACCCAGGCTTTGAGCTAAGATTATCCAAACAATGATTCGAAAACACGGGAAATCCATCGATCCGGGGACCTGGAGCACGAGGAAGACCTGAGCCATCTATCCACGAAACGTTGAGGCGTTTTTCGGTTGAATACGCGTAGAAACCAAGGTTGAAGCCTACTATGTATTGTTAGAGCAATTTTGCTCCGCCTGGGTAGAGGACCCCACGACAGACGTTCGTGTTTTGTCTTTTCTTTTCTTTCCTTCTCTTTTGCCTCCAATAAGAGTCCCGATTGAAATGCAGATGTTTGACGAGTCCACTCCCTTGGGCTTGCTCCACATTTGAGTCTCACTTCGCGGACGATGGCTGGCCAACATCCTTTTCTGATGCATATCCTCGCAAGCAATATGATTTTAAAGATATGATAAGAGGTATTTAGGCCAATGGCATCCTCGTCGCAAAATTCATATCCCAGTCATTGTCCACAGGAACAGCACACTATTCCAGTACTTGGAATATTGACGATAGATGCAGGAAAAATACCTCCTTAGGATCACCCAGAGAGCCAGCGTTTATTGAGAGTTAGTATGCAGATGATTGACGAGTACGAGAAGAATGCCTCTTTCTTTTGGTCCTGGGCTACTGATTCGTCCAACGGGCTTGAAAAGCCGGGGCCATGGCTGGTTTACACCCTTTCTAGTGCGCATCGACATTCGCAATGTGACAGAGATTTAAACTCAACAGTAAATATGCGTTGGCGTTCATGACCTCTTGAGAAAACAGCGCAAATGTTCGAAGCGAAGATAACAGTTGGTAGATGATGATCTGGCCTAGGAACGCAATAAGTTGTTCATGGGACATACGGCCACAGACGTCAGTAAATGAATTGCTCAAGACCAACGGGAGAAAGAGATTCACTTATAGAGACTGCACCTTGATATACAAGTTTCCACTAGAATACAGTATATAAGTCTACAAGAGAAAGATATTTGAATCATAAATCATGAATTGCAGGCGATCTAGATATTAACACCAAGATATTAAAGTACCGTCAAAATCCAACAGGTCTATATACAAATATTAGGATATCAACTTTTCATAACAATAAAAAGAACAAAACAACCCGGAAGAAAGAAAATCAAATCAAGTCCAAGCGTCTAAGCACGCTTCCCCTCAAAGCCCTCAGCAGGCCATCCCTGCAACGTACTCCCATCCTCAACATGATCACCTGAGAGGACCAAAGTATGCTCGAGAAGACAAGCATCCTGGCCCATCGAAGCACCGGACATCAACCGCGATCCAGCACGCATGATACTCCGGTCCCCAACGTTCAAAGTGTGGAGCTCGAACTCACCACGCGAGTTCAGGTGGCAGACCAGACTGGAGTCATCGACGGCGACCCGGTCACCAAGAGTGAGGAGGTCAGGCTCGGTGAAAAAGATGTTGGGCGTGCCGTTTGCATGGATGGAGCAGTCCTTTCCGATTGTGGCACCCAGCAGGCGGTAGTACCAGACGATGTAGGCAGAGCCCGTGATCATGGGCAGGAGACCGCCACCGTAGCAGTCCTTGATTAAGGTCTCGCAGGAGAGCAGGAATTGCCAGCGCTGGTTGTAGCTGCTCTTGTCCCAGTGGAAGGTGCCTTCCTTGCGGCGGCCCATGACCATCCATTTGATGGTGATGACGATGCCGAGGGCGATGAAGGCCTGTGCGGCACTGACACCGGAGAGGATCGCGGCGAGCACGCCGTACAGGACGAATGGGCGCCAGGGGCCTTGTTGGAAGCCGGCGGCGTCACTGTGGGTTATGGCAGCGCGGAGAGCGAAGAGAGAGAACAGGACGGGGAGGAGCCAGTAGACAGTGGTGATGACGACGGAGAGGACGGAATAGATGACAATTTGCCAGATGCGGAGGACGTAATAGTTGGATTCGTGGCGGTAGAAGGCGCGACCGAAGGGCTTGCAGGTATCCTTTTCAGTGACACTGGTATCGGCGATGGTCTTGTTCTTGGAGTTGATAGGGGCCTGCTTCTCGTTGGGAGTCTTCTCGCCGGCGCGCTTCTCGTCTTCGCTGTCGCCGTTGGCACTGCTGCTGCTGCTTCCGACAACGGTGGGGGCGGTCGAGCTAGGCATTGGGGTGTTGGAACCAGGGAATTGAACGGCATCACCACCCTTGCTACCGGTCCAGACGGTGTTAGCCGGGTAGTCGCCGTTGCGACGAAGGAGAGCACCAGAACCGATCATAGCCTCACGACCGATGGTAACACCGGGCAAAGCAACACAACGGTCACCAACCATGGCGCCATCACCAATCACAACGCGATCACGGCCGTAGCCATCCGAAGTGACAATGTTCGAGCGAGAACCAAAGACAACGTCGTTACCAACCTCGACAAGGTCGAAGTCCGGAACGGCGGGACCGACACTGGGCCAGTAGATGCGCTTGCCAACCTTACCACCAAGAGCACGAATAGCCATGGAGACTAGTTCATAGTGACGACCAACAAGACGGGTGAGCTCGTGGATGTCACCAGCGGGCAAGATCTGAGCGAGCACAGCACTGCGCACCTTCTGGCGGGTAGTCTGCTTCGAGGCGGGACCAGGCTTGGGCTTGCCGCAGATGAGATCGAGCAAGGATTTGAAAATCAAGATAGCGAGGAAAAGCACAATTGGACCACCAACAGCACGGCAGATCTTTGCAGTGATGTGGAAGCCAATCCGCTGACCCTGGGTGAACCATTCCAGCGTAGCAAGGAACATATCAGCCGCGGGAACGGGGTACTGGCGCACCATGGGCACAAGACCACCCATCCAGGTAAGACGGGAAGCAACCCAGACAAGGATCTTGATCGGCTCGACAATGAGCAAGGTCCAGATCCAGTGCGGAGAGGGGATACGAGAAGTGAGCAAGTCGCGGTTTGACTCGTCAGCGTCCTGGAGCTCCCAGCTGGACGAGTTGGGACCGATGCAAGTGTTCTCGGGAATATCAGCGCCAGGGGCGACGATGGACTTGATACCAACGGACGAATCCTTGCCGATTCGAATGCGCTTCAGAAGCATGGAGGTGTTACGCTCCACGGCGAAGGGACGGACCTGGCAGGTATCCAAGACAACGTTGTCACCGATTTCGACGAGATCGTATTCACCAATCTTGGCAGATGGCGCGAGAGTGACGTTCTTGCCAATCTTTGCTCCGAGCAGACGGTAGAAGAGAATGCGCGACCAGTTGTAGTTGTTGAAGATACCCTTTCCGCAAACCTGTAGCGCCTTCTGGGTCAACCACCAGCGAGTGTGGTACGGTCCCCACATGGGGAACATGCCCTCCTTGTAGCGACCGATGACGAGCCACTTGAAGATGATACCGCAGAAAGGAGACACAATGGAGCCACCAACACGGGCGGCCAACACAGCCAAAACAATCAGAACAAGACGACCGATGAGCACCTCGCGAATGGGGAACCGGGTCGAGCACTCAGCCATGACGTATGCGAACAGAAGCCACTGAAACGCGCGCTTCATGGGAGCAAAGAACATAACCGGGAACAGATGCAGGACCAGTAGAATCGGGTTCGTGCTGCTGTAGGTCTTCTCGCAACCGGGCAGCTCGACTTCCCCGTCGTCGCCCTTGGCAGCCTTAATGTTGACGGCTTCGGTAATCTTGTGCTCCATGTCACCAACGGTGCTGTTATGGAACAGAATGTCACCAGCCAGGAAGATACCGAATTCGCGACGGAGTTGTGAAACCAGAC